AAGAGTTGCAAGAACATAATTTTAACATATTTATTTCTGTCATTTGAAAAGTTTTCTATTATTTTTTCCCAAACATAAACTCTTAAAAAAAAATAATAAGTTTGGCTCTCTCTCTATTCACCACCCGACTCAACCATTATATCAAAATTTAAACGGAATATATCTAATATTTTACATAGCTATTATTAAAATTTAGCATCATGAATAAACAAAATAAATCCAAATTACTAACCTGATCTACCCAGTTTAGAAACGTAATAAAACTAAACCTTAAAAATTTGACTTAATAGTGAGATGTGTCGTGAAAGTTGAAAAGGAGGTGAAGAATGAGAATAGAAGATGAAGTCAGAAGGAAAGAAGGCAGGTAAAAGAAGTACCTCTTCTTGTATTTATAAACTTTAAATTTAAAAATAACTATAGTCCATTTTATAAACCTTAATTTGGGTTTGTTTTAATATTTAATATATTTTTTAATGTTACGTTTAATTATTTTTTTCTCATCATATTTTTTCACATATATTTCATCATTTTGTTGAATTTTTCATTTATTATAGAATTATATTAAAAATAAAATATATTTTTAACATATTTATTATTTTAATTAATATTATTATTCATAAATTAGTTATTCGAAACACAATAATAAAAACCGGGGATTGTATATTATTATCTTATGAATATACTCATTATCAGATAAGGAAAAGTCGAAATTAAAAAAAAAAAAGAAAGTAGAACTTTTGGGATGATAGACGTGAAGGAATGAGGGTAATGGATGGATGTGATTTATTGTCATTTAGCAATAATGCGTGTGCGCATCAGGCAGAAAAGCAGCAGCGCAACGTTATAACAGAAAGCTCCATTATTAGACAGACCAGCTTTGAAATTATTAGCCTCTTCTTCGCCGCCCAACGTCAGTTTATTGGAATGTTATTCCCACTTGCTCCCTAGCTTCCGCACCCCAATCATTTCTCTTTCCCCTCTTTCTCCTGTTTGGATGCAAAACCAAATCATCCCTACTGCGCTCGAACGCCGTTTAGATGAAAGAAAAGCGATCAGTTTTCTGTAACAAGGGGAAACACATTTCCTCTGAAAACTTTCTTCGTGGCAGATTCATTTTCAGCGAAGCCCAGCAGGGGAATTAAAGCGAAAGGTAAAAGCGATGCCTGTTGTTTTCAACATGCCAGAACAAATAACGGAGATATAATATTTTTGGAATATAAAAATTATAAAATAATTCTGAAGTGTGTGTAAAATCGAAGCATGCATGGAATAAATAAATCTCTTGAACACGTACTTCCAATAATTACTACCAGACCTGCCCCCCTGATATGCCCTGCGAGACACGTCAAAAATAAATTCGTTCCAGTGGGACAAAATGGGAACCACCTAATAAATTTATATATTCTCAGGTTTTTGTGTGTTTTAAAGTTTGAACAGGATCTTGTCTATCTGTTTAATTGATGATATAGAGGCTTATATAATTGCTTATTTCGTACTTGGTAGGGAAGTTTTAATCAAGTGGCTTTGTTTTCTAATACTCTTTGGTCTTAATATAAGACCTAATTATTGAGTTGGTTTTGGTCCTAAATATAAGACCCATTTTTCATATTTATCAATAATCTCTAAATTAGCCCATATGTATACTCCTTGATCAATTAAGTAGAAGAAGAAGAAGAAGAGGGGTATGAGAAAGATGATTATGGTGTTTTAGGAAAAACGTGTCATATTTATTACAATTAACTAACTTACCTAACTTCTTAATCTAATCAAATTAGTTAAATGAGTTTATATTAAGGACCGGAGGAGTACATGTAACTGGTGACTTCTTCGCTGTCGTTTTATGCAAATGTCGTTCTGCTGCAAAGGATTTTCTTCCTTAGCTCATGTCTGCTACGCATGGCCCATTCCACGTCATATTCTTATTGCTTATCACATTCTTAACATAAAAATTATTTAATTAGTTTGATTGGATTAATAAAATTAGGCAAGTTGGTTGATTATAAAAAAATATGATATGTTTTTTATCTTAAAACACCATAATCATCTTTTTTAATATCCTCTAACATCTTTTATTTGATTATGGTTAAAAGATTATTCATAGAGATAATTTAAAAAAATTAATAAATACGAGAAATATCTATAATATTTAGAATCAAATTTAATCCAACAATTAGATTTTATATTTAATACCCAATAAGTATTTTTAATGATATTTTTAATTATTATTCATATAATTATTGCTGTTGCATGCCTTGCGATGCCTGACGTTCCAGGTTAATCAAGTTGGATAGGCCCGAAAGAAAGAGAAATTAGCTGAACTAGGAGCTTCCATATACGATCATGCATCGTATTTCCCCCTGTGCTAATTAGTCAGCAGAAATGTTTGTTTTAATTCTAATTTTAAATTTATAATTTTTTAAATCTCTTTATTAATTGCGCATATTAAATTTTTTTTTTACCAGATCAGTAGTTTTCAATGCAAATGATTGAAATGAGTATTTTAGAAAAATCAATATATATATGTTTTCATAAATAACTAACTAAATTAATTAATTTATCTGAGTTTTTAAATCTAGTTACCTTAATGTTTTAAACTTAAAATCAGAGATAATATATATGCATGTGTATATATTTTTCTTGGATCGTACAATCTTTGAAACTTACGGTCAAACAAGCTCCTATGGATGGATAGAGCCGGGAAAACGGGCCGAGCCCATCGGGCCGGCCCGTTTAGGCCCTGAAATTATGAGGGCCGGGCTTGATATTTTTCTCTTAAAATGAGAAACAAGCCCTGGAGGGCCGAGGGCTTAAAAGGGCCGGCCCTGGAGGGCCGCGGGCCGGCCCTTTTAAGCCCTTTTATAATTTTTTTTATTTTTTAAATTTTTTTATATATATTAATGTTATTAATTTTTTACATTGTTAATAATATTTCAAATATTTAGTTATTATTATCATTTTAAAATTAAATTTAGTTTTAGACAATAATTTATCCAATTAAATTTTTAAAAAATCGGTTAATTTAGACTTTAATAATGATTTGATTTATATTATATGCGTTGATATTTTTAAACTATATATATATTTGATAATAGAATATTTTTATACTTATATAACTTGTGATTCTATAATTTGAATTAGAAATTCATGAGTTTCAACAACAATGTTTCTCACATTAAAGTAAAATAATAGTTAGATTGCAAAATTCAAAAATAAAATTCTTATAAAGAAGAAAAACTTGATATTTTTGTTACGAAAGAAAAGCATACTTATGAAGAAAAGTAATTAATTACAGTGATGATGAAGTTTCAAAAGATTAATGATAGTGTTTATTTATTGCACAATTGTATTATAGATAAAACTTTTAGATATTGTTATTTTGTTAATGAATGTTTTAGATGTTCTTAGATGTTGATGAATATTTATATATGATGATATTTTATATTTGTGACTTAATTTTATTCATATTTATGTCTTTTATTAATATTTCATTGGTTTATTTTTATAAAAAATTTGATAAATATAAAAAAATAGTATTTTTCCTTAAACGGGCCAAAAGCCCGCGGGCCAGCCCTGGCCCTGTAGCTTAAGGGCCGGGCTTAGCAAATTGGGGTATTTTTAAAAATTTCAGCCCTAGAGGGCCGGCCCTGATTCCCGGCTCTATGGATAGCGAGGGAGAGAAACTGAGAAAGGGTGACGTGGATCCACGTGGAGATGGCACCGTCCTAAACGCGAAAAGGGCCAAACTGAATGGGAAAGACGGTAATGAAATTGAAAGGGGGCACTTCCGTATGAGATTACAATTCTTCCTTTTATTCCCTGGGTCCACAATTCATTTTTTTTTTTAATTTAAAAGACGGAAATGAAATTCAAGAATTTCTTATTCCCCGGGTCCACAATTTTTGTTTGTAAATTATAAACAAGATGTTATAATTAGGCATGGAAGTAGTATTATTTACTGAATCCCAGGCTGGCAAGTTATCTAGAATTCTGGTATTTATGCCGCATTAATCTATCTTTATGTTATCCGGGCGTTTCACAAATAAATTATCTTCAATTAATCATATTATTTATAATAATTTATATTAGAAAATAGTATTTGTTAGAGTATTATTTTTTTAAAAAAAACTCTGAAGTTTGAACAGCGAACATTTTAGGAAGGATTTATTCCTTTTTGACCCGTGGAAGGATCTATTCAAGTTAATTAACTTGAATATATACGCTTTTACTGGACGATTAGACGAACCTAAATGAACTGCCAACATTGTTTACAATCCGACACATCAACGTTGTGCTTTGTTATGGGACTGATATATCTTACAATAACAGTATTAATAATGACATTAATTATACATAATGTTTAGTTAATTAATCTGCAGAGTCCCGAAAAACAGTTAAATTAGTTTTTCCTATAATCAATATGCAAAAAATTTGAGGATCATTTTCAAAAATACTCTTACCACTAATGATCATAATTTGAATCTGAAGAAAAATTTAAGTGGACCTTATATATTATATTAAAAAAATTGGGATGGTTTTTTTGGTTCCCACCTTTCAGTGGTTCTGGGCTGAGATTAAGCCCACGGGTGAATGATTTGGAGAGACGTGTGCCAGTTGCCCAACGACGTCGCATGTGATATGCGCTGGTTATCGTGCCCAGCAGCAGCATCACTCCCTAGGACCAAACCAAAGCAAGTGAGGGTAATAATAATATTAATAAATAATAATCAGAAAAATGGGGGGTACATTCGGAAATTCAAAAATTAATAAGGCGGGAAAAAGAGCCGTTGTTGCCCAAACCACTGAAATTTTGGCGCCAAAACCCAGTTCACTCGGTTTGGGCTGCCCGCCAAACCCCGGGCAGCTCTCTTTCCCCCTCCTTTTCTGCCTTCGCTTTTACCAAATTGACGGTGTTTCGCTGCCTCACGGGCTCCCTCCTCTCCTTCTATATAATATTTCTCTCTTTCTTCCTCACAAAATTTCTTCATGTTTTCTCTGCAATTACCAAAAGAAAAACCCTCACGGGAAAAAAAATCTCTTTTTCTTTCTCTCGTTCCTTCGTTTCAAATCGTCCCTCTCCTTTCTCTCCACAATCAGGCAAAGACCCTTTTCTCTTATTCTGTTATTCCTCATCCCTTCATTCTCATTCTGATTCTCAGGCAAGATTCATTCTTCCCAATTCCATACTCACCCTCTTTCGTTCCCTTCGCTTTCCTCTGTTTTGGGTAGTTCCATCAACGACAAGCTGTCTCCTTTTCTTGGGCATATTTGCAGATTTAATATGGGGTTCTCCAAAAAGTCCCAGATAGAATCAGGGTTAGAATCAGAAGCGAAGAAGTGGGTAATTGCAGGAATTTCGGTACGGTCTCTGAAGCCCATAAACACGAAGCCGAGGGGGAAAGAGAACGAGGACGAAGATGAGGAAGCCTGCTCGACGACCCCGACGGCGAAAGAGTCAAGAATACAAGAAAAGTTGCCGTGCCCGCCGGCGCCGAGGAAGCCCCGACCTTCACGGCGACACAACTTTAATGGTGTTAGAGAGTTCTTCACGCCTCCTGACTTGGAAACCGTGTTCAAACGCCGTGCTGAGAAAGCCATCTGATTTCAGCTCATTCAACTAACAAAACAAAGCTAGATTCAAGTTTGCCGAAGAGGAAAGAGGTCCCGAAGAAGAGGGTTTTGTTCTGTTTTATGTATTTTTTTAATTTTCTGGCTCTGGATGCAAATTCCTCTCTGTTCCGAGTGCTACCTGGCAACAAGAACATGTGTACAAATGAAGGGAAAAAATTGATATGTAGGAAGCAGTATAGGGTAGTCTTTGATTTTCATTTTTTCTCTCTCCTTTTTCGTTTGATGAAAGAGTATGTGGTCTAGTTCTGTTTTTTGTTTAATGAGAAGTTTTCAACATTTCTAGTTCAAGCGCATGTTTATTTCCTCAGTATTTCGTTTCAAGTGTTCCTAACGCTTATGAGCACTTCATTTCAGATTCTACAATTTCCTTTATTTCCTTATTTCTTTCTTATGTCTCGCAGAGTGACCAAAACTTGTCCGATAAATTTTTTTTTTTTTAAAAAAGCAAGACTTTAAAACGGTGCAAAAACACAAATTGATTGACGGAGAGAAACCACTCGAAACTTTGGTTAATAGGTCAAGCATGTTTCTCATACTCTGCCAATCTTCTTCTTTAACTAACCCACCTCTGCTTGAACCCTACGGCGCAGGTCAAGCCCTCATAATACTTCTCCGATTATTAAAACAATAAATTCCTGGCCCATGAGAATCCTATGCTATTCGTACTGTTTCAAGCTTCAAATGGTCTTGACGAGTTTGATTTTTTTTTTTTCTTTGAAGGGGGCGTTTGAAACGAGCGGATAAGAATTACATGCATGTTATTGTCAAAGTACAGGAATCTGCAACAGTTTATGAAGTGGACAGGATACGGTTTTGCATGACCAAAGGGCTTTGTTTCTGAGATTATGATGAAGAAAAAGCTCACTGAATCTGATTAAGGACGTAATTTAATTAACTACTATTTGTTTAGTGAGAAAAGGGTTGTTCTAGGGATTAGGGTTCTTTTAAGGAAGCAAGCAAGCACAACCACGTAGTAAAAGTTTTGGGGGTAAATTTGAAGTCTGTCTTTGTCAGATTGTGGTCATTCATTCTGATTCACACTTGGATAAGCAGTAGTTGATTATTCATTCTACCGTGACGCTGTAAATGGACACCCCATGAGGCACTTTTTTTTTTTTTTTAAATGAAGGCCCAGTAAAAATTAAAATTAAATTAAATTAAAATATGTCTTGCATTTTTGACTTTGCTACGTGCTTCCTTCCAGGAAACATGATGCTTTTGGTCAAGATTAGTGCATTAATTAAAACCAGCGAAATTTACTCCATGATTTAATTCCCAAACATGCTGTCTTGATTCTTGAGGAACATATGTGATTCAAAATGGAATACGCACGTCAATAATATTCCTTTCCCTTTTGAAGAAAAAAGACAATAAAATTCTCAGCTATACGTTTTCCCATATGGGGTGGATCTCTTGTCTTGTATTATATATGATCAACGTCGGAGAAACAGATGCACACAACACAAGTTCCCCCAACCACACGGGAAGTCTTTGATCATGAGAAATGCAATGGAACGAAACAACATTGTTGTTTGTTGTTTTTGATGTTGTAAGGGTGTGTTCGGAAGCAGACAAGCAGTCATTTTCGGAAAAGATACAGAAATCTGGAGGGTATGATGTTCATTGAATGAGTCCTTTGTAACTGAGCAGGCTTATATGGTTGAGGGAGAAGACCGTGTTTCTGTCATTAAGGAAAAGCTCTAAACAAGTCCTTCAAGTTATGTCCTCTTTTCATCAGTTCACTCGTTTTTGTGGGGACCCAATGTGAATCTTGACCATACGCTACTTGTTCAACTTAATCATAACTATATATATAAAAGACATTTTAGTGCCTTTTTATGATAAGTAACAACTTATGTACAGTATATCATTTTCAAAAAAAAAAAAACATAATTTCGTCTTTCAAGACATCGTTGTTAAATATATACTCCTCCGGTTCTTAATATAGGACCCAATTATTGAGTTGGTTTTGGTCCTAAATATAAGACCCATTTATCATATTTTTCAATTTTCTCTAAATTACCCCTATGGATACTCCCTCAACCATAATCAAGTAGAAGAAGAATAGGGGGTATTAAGAAAGATGATTATGGTATTTAAGGAAAAACGTCACATTTCTTACAATTAACTAACTCACCTAATTTCCTTAATCTAATCAAATTAGTTAAATGGGTCTTATATTAAGGACCAGAGGAGTATTACATAGGGAGCCAGTCTTGGTGCTTATCACTTTGATAAACATATAAAACTCATCAGATCTGAATCGTTTATATCTCGTTTGAATACTTCAAATTTGATTTCTTTTTTATTTTTATTTATTTAAAATAATTATTTTAATATGTATAGAATTTAAAATAGAGATAATATCTTAACTATAATTTTTTTGCAAAAAATTTTTTTCTGTTTAAAAATAATTAATCTAAACTGTTCAAATCAAATATAAATAGTTCAGATCTAATGAGTTTAAAATGCTTATCAAATTGATGAGCACTGAGAGAGAGAGATGTTTATCAGGAGAAGAATGATTAGAACATGATAATTTTTAGCGAAAAAAATTCTCCCAGCATATATATTTTTCTTTCACGAGAATTAAATCCAAATGCACAACATTTTCATTGCATGAAGAAGGAGAAATTAAGGTAGTTTGAACATCAAATATGGATCGCATGAATTTTTTTTTTTTTTAACAGCAAGGCACTAGTTTTATTAACTAATTGGTGCTTGCTAATGACTAATTAGCTTGATCCCAATTGATAAACGTCATCTAATTGACTAATAAACACAGTGACACGTCAGTGGTTATCTCAAATTAAAAATACTACCTCCGTTTCTTAATATATGAGCTAATTGATTAATTTGAGTAGATTAAGAAAACTAGTTAAATTAGTTATTTGTATTAAATAGATATTGTCTTTCCTAAAATATCCTTACTAATGAAGTGTATTGGCTAAAACTATTATTGTTATACTCCTCCGGTCCTTAATATAGGACCCAATTGTTAATTTAGTTTTGGTTCTAAATATAAGACATATTTCTCATATTTGTCAATTTTTTCTAAATTACCCCTATGGATACTCCCTCAACCATAATCAAGTAGAAGAGGGAGAGGAGGTATTAAAAAAGATGATTCTGGTATTTTAGGAAAAATGTGTCACATTTTTTATAATTAACTAACTTACCTAACTTCCTTAATCTAATCAAATTAATTAAATGGGTCTTATATTAAGGACTATAGGAGTAACTTATAAGAACTACTTTAGAAATCATTTTCGCTGTTCAATATATAGAAACACACCTGAAACTCAATATTTTATCCGTTATCCCATTATGCGCAAAACTAGCACTACGCGGAATAGGTGAGTTGCATTGTGTATAATTCCCAAACGTTAAAATTTCATATAAATTTTACATTATATCCATATATGTGAAGGCGAATATGGATTCAAAATATTGAGCAAATAAAATGATACTCCTCCGATCCTTAATATAGGACCCAATTATTGAGTTGGTTTTTATCTTAAATATAAGACCCATTTATCATATTTATCAATTTTATTTAAATTATTCCTATGGATACTTTCTCAGCCATAATCAAGTGGAAGAAGAAGATGGGTATTAAGAAAGATGATTATGGTATTTTAGAAAAAACATATCACATTTCTTATAATTAACCAACTTACCTAACTTCTTTAATCTAATCAAACTAGTTAAATGGGTCTTATATTAAGGACCGGAGGAATACGTTGATAAATGTTTTTTTTGTTACGTTAACAAATTAACAGGGCTTTTTATATATGCATATATATGCTTTTATATACACTCGTTAAACCTCTGGCCATGCCTTTTTAGAATAATCTGTGTTTTTTTAAAAATATTTTATTAAAAGGCGTGTGGCTAGTAAACAGGTTTTAATCCCTCCTTAAGGATCGTGAAAGTATTTTTTAGAAACAGATTCCTAAATTTCCCCAGCAAGAATGAAAGGTGGCAGCTGTACTAATCTAGCAGTAGCAGAGAAAGAGAGAGGCTCTTCCCTTTCAATTCACATTCATCAGCTATCGATTTGCCGCCAACACTGCCTCTAAGGCGTCATTTGCCCCTTAATAATAAAAATATGAATTTGAAAATTAATTAAGTACTACTCCCTTCGGTAGTATTATTTTTTCTAATACTCAAATTATTCGTAACTATTGTGCAAATATTTTTTAATTAAATTGGTCCTTTGGTAGATGACACCTGGCGAGTGGGGATGCGCATACGTAACAGGTGGCTGCATTATACTAGTACACGTGCCCAAACATACTCGTGAATAGAGCTGGGAATGCGGGCTGGCGGTGCGGATACGGGCCAGCCCGCAGCGGTGCGGGCCAAAAGCAGTGCGGGCTGAAGTAGCCCGCACTTTGGCGGGCTGGCATTTTGCCAGCCCGAGCCCGCCGGCCCGCCTAACTTTTTTTTTAAAAAAAAAATTATTACTTGTATAAGTTTGGACTTAGTTTGTAATGTTAAAATTAGATTTGGAGTTTTAAACTTGAGTAATGAGTTATAATAAAATAATGTGAGGATTAATTTATAATTTGAGAAGATATTTTAGAAAAACTAACACATTTTTTCTAAATAATTAATTTGACTATTTTTCTTATCCAAATTAATTAAGTAGATCTTTTATGTATGTATTACATATGCAATTACATGGATGAGAAGATGTAAATATGAAATTTGGGGGTTAAAATCCTCCAATTATGTTGTATAACATATTAGAAATTATATAAAAATTAAAATTTAAAAAAAAAAAAGCGGGCTAGCCCGCGGCGGAGCGGGCTGAAAACGGTGCGGGCTGGAGTAGCCCGCACCTTGGCGGGCTGGCATTTTGCCAACCCGAGCCCGCCATTTTTGGCGGGTTGGCGGGATCAGCCCGTATTACCAGCTCTACTCGTGAATCCCTGTACACATATTGCAGACCTATAAGAACAATAAAATAAATGTGAAGTAAATGCGGTCATTGAAGTTTATTAGAAGAAAATTTTAATCCAAAGTACTAGTATGAGAAGTTGACAAAGTAATTAATAATAATTTTATAGAAAAAGGAATAAAATATGTAATTTTATTAATTTAAGATATATTTAATGACCAATAATGACAACAAGGACTCAAGGAGGCCCATGAAAGATGGATACAGAGTGACAGGTGTACGTATATAAATACGGGGAAGCAGGTTGGAGTATTGCGTCTACAAAAACGACACCGTAAGAGGAGGTGAAGCGGAGAGCTATAATTGGAGGGAAGTTTTGAAGCCTCAGTTTTATTTATTTAAAAAAAGAAAGGTTGCTATAATGGTGATTGGAGGTCATCAGATATTTCTGCTAAAGTTGCAGGAATCCTATGAATCCATCCCTCGGACATCTACACGTGGGCCTCCCTGGAATCCTAAGCTTCCCCCACTTCCCTCGTTTTCAATTTCATGCCCCCCGGCTTTTTCCTTTTTTCATTTCCCCTGCCCCATTAAACAATAAATTTTTATTTAGAATTGAATTAACACGTCTATATATATATGCATGTATATTATTCGTGAGTAAAAAGTTATTTTTTAATAAGAAAAGCAGTATTTATTCAAAAAGTCAAAAAAGAAGAAGTCCATTTCTGTATGTTAAAGCTAAGCTTAAAAGTATTCTGTTCATAAATATAAAGTTTTTCTTAACTAATTCACAAAATTAAAATTTAAAAAGATAGTTAATATAATTATTTGTCATTAAAATATAAAACAATTTGTGACACTGCTTTAAGAGTGATTTTATCATTTAATTATTAAAATTTGATGCTTAGAAATAAATATGTTTAGATAAATAAGAACGTTTTGAAATAATAATTAACATAAAAGAATAAAAGAGACCAGACCAAAATTCACTTTATATTAAGGTGTACTAATACGACTATATGAGGGACTTTGGATGCGGCGCAAGAAATTTTGGAAATGACACAGAGTTTGAGGGGATGTGCCCGGGAACCGATTGCGCGTAGGAAAGCGCTGCCCAAACTGCCCGTGAGTGAGAGAATCAACGAGGAAGACGAAGGGGGGGGGGCCTTGGCGCCAAATGGAGGAAACAGAAAACGACAACGTTGTAACCCGCAAAACCCGGGATGCGGCGGCTGTCTACCATCTCATGATCTCATCTCATTAGTCATTACTCATGCACTCTCATGATGATCGTCGCTTATGAAACCCTCTGGATCTCGCCCGTCATTACCATTTTACCCTTCTCCGTTCTTCCCATCTCCACCGTTCGTTTCATCTGATCCCTCCCACCATCACCGTCGATCTTTATAAGTTGACGTGTTCAGTCACAACAAGGTACCGTAAAATCAGTTCCGGTTTTATTTCTGTCACTCTCGATTAGCAGCACAATAACTATAGTGAATAATTAAACAAATGTTAAAATTTAATTCAGCCTCTAGTTAATAAAAAATTTATCCTCATTTAAAAAGCCGTCGTTTTCATCAAATTCCATCCCCATCTTAACTGTCTGCTATTTCAGTATTTTACTAATTTTTTCAAGAATAGACATTTACATATTTCTATTAAAAAAAGGTGAATTTTTTATGATAACATGCGGAACGGTCCTAATTATAGGTGGGGTAAAATATAGGTAGAGACCAAAGTCTCATAATGTATTGAAAAAACAAAAGGTGGGCTTAGAAAATAAAACATTCAACACTCCATGAATTTTTCAAAGTGCTCATACAAAAGACTAACATTAAAGGCTTTGAAAAAAATCTTTTATGAAAAAGAGTATTTTTTTTTCCAATAGAAAAAGAGTATTCTTTTTAAGGGTGTGTGTATTAATTTCTGTTTTGTATGGATTGCATTAACTTTTTCCTCTTTGTCCGTTATCAATATAGATTTCAGTTTTCATTTAAAAAGAAGAAGAAAAAGCCAGGCCAAGGTGTACGATATTTAGCATATATTATTAAAGATGTTATTGCAGCATTCTCTAAAATAATAGTGAGGACTTTTTTTTAACACACACATATAAATAAAGGTGCGACGAGTGAGGCAATTAGGCGGAAGAAAGCAGGGAAGATATGGGTTAAAGGAGAAGAGAAAGACACGAGAAAGAATTGATGAGAAATAAGGGCCCACACATTACGTGGCGTGCCCGCACTTCCATGCATTTTCGCTTCTCTTTATTTATGCCCTTTCAATCATCCCCCCCCCCTTTTTTTTTCATGGGTCAGCCTCTTTTTTTCTTTTGAATAACATGGGTTAAACTTTTCCATCAATAGGAGCTTACCCGTCACGTCAAATTTCAAAATGATAGTTACCCAAAAAAAAAAAAATCAAAATGAATATCTTTTATATTTATCTTTATTTTAATTTTGGTCCTTTAACTTTTAAATTATAAGTTTTGGTTCTTTAAACTTTTTTTATTTAAAATATTAGTCGTTATAATCTAATAAAACTTATAGTATTTTGCCTATTGAAAGATCAAAATATATGATTTAAAATTTAAGAGACTAAAATCAAAATAAGGATAAATTTGAAGGATTAAAGATTATATTAACTTTTTTTTAAAATTATGTTTGGAAGGCTCCACTTAAATGTTAGCGGGTAAGAATGTTCTCTATAGTTTAACGTAAATTCTGGTCCAAAAAAAAAAACGTAAATTAATTGTGAAGTTTTACTATATATGTCATTAAGCATAATATGTACTCGTTATTATTTCAGTCTCTCTTGCTTTAGCCCTTATCGTGTTCACTCTATTTGCCGGCATCCGAAAATGAAGAGGCAGGGATGGGTTGAAGAAGTTTCGCTTGCATTTGCAAAGAGGCCGTTCATTTTATTTAAAAATCAATGTTTAACTTGTAGCAAATTTAATGAGTTTAAATATTTTGATTATCTTTCCTAACTTGATAAATAGTGACCTGTGTTTTTCAATTATTGATTGCAATATACTCTCCTCCCCTGAATATAAAGTTTTTTTCCCGATAATTTTTGTCTAGTTACATTATAAGGTTTTCCTTTTTCTCCTGCCTCCCACGTCAAGGAACCAGAGGTCTACCTAACTTTTTTTTTTTTTCAGGGGAAAAAAGTCAAAAACCGAACGATCATGATTTAAATATATATATTTCTTTTAGGAGGAAAAAATTGAATCACACATCACACACACGTATTTCAGAGAAATATACCGCCGGTAATCATTACGGGGGGAATAAATGAATTTTAAGAGTCAAGAGGACGATAATTGAGAACCACCCCTGATAGTTTAATAATTTTAACAAGTGGGTTTGTTAAAGATAAGGCAGGGACAAATGAGACATTCTTGGCTGTCAATTTACGTACCCGGGTTATTTTTATATTAATATTCTTTCTGGGTATGACGTGTCGCATTGAAAAGGGCACGAGTGAAAGTTTTGATTTTAAGGTAATAGTATCCAGTTATTATTCCAAAAAAAAAAAGGGGCACGAGTCAAAGTCTCGCGAAGGCCCACATCCTTAAAGTAAACCGCAAAAATGGGCTTAAGGTATAAGTTCAAAATGGGCTTAATGGATTGTCCCGGAAAATAGGCTGTGGGATTTAATAATATAAGCCCAAACAGGGTGAGCGTGGGGAGGTCCCATACAATCCTCTTTGCCAAAATCCATCAATTGTCGGGTCTTTTTTTTTTGCCCCCTTTTTCTTTAAAGTTAATCGTGTTCAAAGCCTCACAGGACATTAAACGTGGACATATCTCTCATTAAAAATTTAAATACTACTTCTTGTCTTAATTATAAGAGCCAGTTGACTAATTTGAGGAGATTAAGGAAGTAAGTTGAGTTAGTTATTTGTCCTAAATAAGTGTTGTCTTTCCTAAAATATCCTTGCTAATCAAGTGTATTAACTATAACTATAATTATTAAAAGGACCATCTTGAAAAAAATTGAGTAAATATGAGAGACAAAGTGGATTGGGGTCTTATATTTAGGACCAAACTAAAAGTCAAACAGGATCTTATATTAAGGATCGGAGGTAGTATTAGTTTATTATATTACGAGGAATTAGCTCTTCTGTAAACCTAACCTACTCCGTAATTGTCATAGTGATTGAGGACATAAAAGTACATCTTTATGTGCAGAATCACTCAATCAGCATAAGGGCCAAAAAATATTGTTCCATTACTATCAGTAACAATTTTTTAAACACGTCATATATTATTAATGTGGTTCTTTTCAAAGAACTTGGATTGTAAGATCAAGTAGATTTAATGGCTCAGGAGTCACAAGTTTTTTTTTCTTTTTTGTTCAATAACTAAAAGGTTTAAAATTCAAATCCCATCGAAGCCACTCTGCCATTATTTGCTTGTCTTTGGCGGTGGCAGCTCCGATGATAGGTGGTGGTGGCTCTGTTGACCATGAGGAGGGATTTTTGTTGAGAAAATTACTGAGGTTCCAGGGAAAAAAATAATTACAAAATAAATCTAAAAAAATTGTCATTTTTTTTAATTTTGAAATATGTCATTACATACTATTTAGGTTATTATTAAGATTTATTAATAATTATTTTCTTTTTTTTGAAATATCATTATAATTCTCCAATTTTTTTCCCGAATCAAGAGCATTTTAATGGATGTGAACTAAACTCATTCATAATTAAAAACATGGATTTCATAATAATTTAATGATTTTAAGAAATTTTTTATATTTTAAATTGTCACGTGGGAGCCGATGGTGATTTTATGACACTGCCAATTCGGGTGCATGGATCTCCTGTGCTATGCATAATCGGCTTTAGAAACAAACTTGACGTCGCAGGGGATAATGTGTGATGAAATTTGAATGTCAAATGATTAGTGCTCAGCAGCTACTCCTTCACTTTAAATAAGTACTTCAAGTATTAACAAAAAAATCTGTTAAGACAATAAATAAGTAAAAATATATTTTTACTTTCAAATATTCTATTCATTTCATATTCATTCATCTCTTGTTATTGGGATTCTTTTCCGTTGGCACCAAAAAAAAAAAAGGAATCTTTCCCAAATTCCAATTCTTTCAAACCAGATCGGCCCAAACGACAAAAATTGGGGATTGGTGGATACGATGGACAGATACTTTCAATTTATTAAGATTTCTGTATCAGAGGATCATTCAAGAATCCTCGTTCAAATGTCACTTATCACCACACACCTGCTGAAAGAATTTGATAAGAGGCTTCCCATCCAAATCTTTACACTTTCCTCACTCGCAGCACCATTTTTTTAAAAACAAAATAAAAAAACAAAAAAAGGGGTCTAATTGAACAGACACTGCTTTTTTCAAGTCCCAAACAATATTAATTACAGAAGCCATATGATGAATACAGAGTTCGGTAGAGCGAACCTGGTTATTTGAAACTGGGAAATATGATACACTTGCCATCTTCAAATTCAACATTCACCAAACCAGTTATTTATTAAACATCAACTTCAATAAACCTATTGGATGCCCACGTTTTTGCCTCATCAGAGAGCTTGTTCTCCTCCACATTTATTCTTCTCAACTTGGGACATTTCTCAACAAACACTTCAATAGCCTCTGATTCTATCCCACCACAATGCATAATATCCACATTTTCCAGGAATTTGCAGCTCCTGAGCACAGCAACTATGGCTGCATTTGTCAGTCCTTTGCATCCTCTCAGCTTCAGATCACTCAGATGAGTACACGAAACAGACATTGAAATGAATTCCTTATCAAGCAACAACTCATTATGCGACAAGTCCAATTTCCTTAATTGCCTCAAATGCTGCCCCAAAGTGGCAAGCAACCCTGATTCTCTCTCTACCACATCGCAATTTATCAGCGCCAGTTCTTCAAGCCCAGAAGAAGCCCCTGATGTCCCGAGAAGCTTTAGGCCTTCACCTGTGACAAGACAGCAATTCTGAAGCCTTAGGCTTAAGAGACCTCTGAAATTGGACGCCATCGCTGAGAGATGGTCGTTGTTGAGGTCCAGAGGTAGACGAAGGTCGAGCTTCTGCAAATTGGACCGGCAATGAGAGAAGAAGTAAAGCAGACCATCTCGGCTTCCGCCGTCGTAAACCAGAAGGGAATTTAGAAATTGACAGTTTTCTGCTAGATGAAAGAGGACCCCATCAATCACGCTTCTGCAAGTCCTCAGTTCAACTTCTTCAAGATTTTGCAGACACTGAACAAAAGAGGAGTAGGGCCCACCGATTCCTTGGCAACTTTGGAGTCTCAATTTCTTGAGCTTCTTGCAGCTGCTCCATAACCATCCCACTCCCCAGTCGTCTCTTCGTATGCCCACCAAGCACAGGCTTTGCAACCCCAACTCTGTACCAATTTCGTCACTTTCCCAAACCTCCAATTGATTGCTGGGATCAATTTCTTGACCACCGGAGGACCAGGTAATGGCGAGTTCCCTCAGGGACGGAAAAGACAAAACCCACCTCAGAGAGATAGGTCTGGGGAGATTAATACAGAGAGAAGTCAAACGAGTACACGCGGTGGAGAGAGAATTCAGAGAAGACAGGGAAACAGGGCCAGACATGAATCTCAGAGCACGAAGCCGGGGACAGCAAGAGGAAACTGCGGCGAGGATATAGTCCGAGACGGCGGAATCGGTGGAAGCGGCAGTGGCGGCGGAGTCGGAGGAAAGAAAGAGAGACAAAGAGGAGAGAGAAGAGTGGTCGGAAAGGAGTGAGCAGAGAGAAGCAACCCCAGGGAAAGGAGGAAGAAGGCGGAGGGAGAGGGAAGTTCTGGAAGAACGAAAGAGGGAAAGCCAGCGCTTGGAGACGAGAGATACAGATGAAGACGAAGAAGGAGGGAGCTTCATGAAAATCTCCTGAAGGAGTTCATCGCAGAGCATGTTATCCATCTACCTTGCTTATGATGATCGTCTTCTTTCCCCGTCTCTCCCAAACTATATAACACTCTGCCTCGCCTGAACTTCTCAATCGTTCTGTTCCGGTTTTTCTATAAGAGAGACATTTGCGGGGCAAGGCGACGCTCGCTTAGACGCAAATTAAGGGCGTATAAAAGACGCGCTGGGTTTGATGAAATCCAGACGCCCAGAAAATCCCAGCAGGATGTGAAGTCACGCGAAATACAGGTGATGCTTCATTGAAGTTGAATTAAAAAATATATATATTTATATATTTCAGAAAATAGATATATTAAGAGGCTAAGGGATGAGGGAGTTGGAATGAGATGGAGCGGTTACGTGACAGGTGGCAGTTGTTATGCCGGCTTCTTGGTGTGCAGTAATGGAACACTTTTGCAGCTCAAGCCTACTCAGAAACGCGTGTGGCCTGGCAGCCTCATAAAATCGCCCTTTTATTTAAATTTTAGGAATATATGGAAAATAACACCAAAGATTTTGAAAGGCGGATAAAACCAGCCGAGGATCTCTAGTTTTAAATCATTCTTTTTATAGCAAATAATTTTGGGTGAGTTAAATCTAGTGGACTTATCTGAATCAAGACATGTCTTTGAGATTGTTTAGAGAAGTATTTACAAATCATCTATAACAACATCCTTACCATTTGCAACCAAACTTAAATTCATGCTAATTTTTGTTACTTTTAAAAATGAATTTTAATGACAGGGTTTTTTCCCCAAAGAACTAAAAACTTAAAAATTTATATCAAGTTCCTTATATACATCACCTCAAGTTTTTAAATTATATATGATCATGTTTTTATTTTAAAAATATCAATATTTAATAGTATTTAGTTGTAAACTCACATAAAGAAAAATAAAGTATATGACCACATATGATTAGAAAACTTAATATAATAGATAAGAAACTTCAGCTAGGTATTTTTCAAAACTTAATTAATAACTCCACATTCTTGGTGCCAAATAGTAATTGAGTTTCTATAATTTATAGTCACATTTTTTATTATTTCCAACTAGATTTTATGTCTTAAAACTTGGATGTTACAAAAATCAGAAAATGAGATATTAAATAATTTACATTAATTATACATAGCTTTTGTTGGCCAAAAGAAATAATAATACATAGCTTTTTGCATTTAAAATTCGTTATATTTCCAACTAAACAGGGAGCAATTTTTTAAAAATATTTTTTATTAGATAAGAATCTTGATCCTTTGATATTAATTTCAAAATTTAATGTCCCAAAGAGTTACTTGCTACGATGAGCTTTTGAAGTCTCAAGGGTCATTTCCAAACCTCAGCCCCCACCCCAACCACCCAAAAAAAAAAAAAAAAAAAAAGAACTGAAGAAGCTCCGTCACACGAGTGCCGGTTCACGTATTGTGTTTCATGGTTCATAGCAGTTCTCGCAGGTTTCCATTTAAATATTCATTCGATTGGAAACATGTGTCTCAATGCAGAGGATATGGTTGAGGCGAAAGTAAGAAATGTTGACTTATGCCCTCATAAAATGCGTAATTACAAATTACTCCTTCACTTTTTTCCATTTTTCCTTTCCAGACACAACTCACAGCAAACAGGCACGGTGCAGGCTTCTTGTTTATTTTCACTTTGGTTTGCGTGATTACATTTCTTTCCAATTAATTGACCCTTGAATGGAATCTTCAAATCAAATAATCTAATACAACCCAACAACTATAAAGTTTTAGAGGAAATGACGAAGCAAGAAGTTACGGGTCAATTATTAATCCTCTTAAAAACTCAGAAAATTTTTTTTTGAGGACATGCTTGCAAATGAAAAGATGAAAAAAGAATTAGTGGTGAAGTCTAAGTCCAATCACAATTAGGACCTAATTAGGTAGCCATCACTATCTGGTAGGGCCATTCCGCTCTTGAAGTTATATTCCCACATGAGGCCTTAGCGGACGGAGAAGAATAAGTCATGTTTATTAATAAAATAGGAAGCAGCAAAAAGATGGGATATCTATCTCTCTTATTTGCTTTTTATGCCCAAAAAAAAAGAAAGAAAGAAATATAGGTTTGGTTGACACAAACACATCCCCAGCCACAACACAATTCTCACTTTTCTGAGTTTCACCTCATTCTTCTTTTTCCCTCTCTGTTCTCTCTTGTCATGTCTGTACTGATATTAGTCCTACTGCATGTACAATTTCATTGTCATTTTCCAGTACTAACAGAAAAAAAAAAAAAATACAGAGAAGAGCAAGAGAAAGTAATAATGATAATAATTATAAAAGGTGTTGATGCCGACTACTTTGACAGGCAATCCTTTGAAAGTACCATTTTAGCTGTGAGGTTTTGTAATGCAGATAGATATATTTATTGTTCCTGCACAGTGCAAGAACTGATATATTTTAGCAGCATATCTTTGTCAAACCAGTAAAAGCAGAGAAAAAGACCCCAGATTGTGGGTTAGGGAATGGGAATCTGCCTTTGTTCTTCTTGGAGGCTTTGCTTCTCATTGCTTCCACATGGGGATCTCTGCTTTTCCTAAAGGCACAAGTTACTTGGTTGATGGTGGGGTTGGAATTATATTGAACCATTAATTTGGAGCATATTATTAGATTATACTGAGGGAAAAGAGAGATGAAACAGAGAGAAGAGATCATTGAAAAGGTTAAGGAAGGGAGAATAATGGCGTACATCAGCAAGAGGATAGAACCCGTGTGTGCATTTATCTTTAGTTTTGCTCCAATCAAGTGTGTGAGCAAAAGTAATCAGAAATTTATACCAGCGACCTAACCATGTGTTCATTTATATATATCACAATCAGGGACCAGAGATCAGCAGCTGCCGCCTAACATTTTTTCCTCTGGCCTCCTGCCTCCTTAGTCCGCGGGGGCTCAATAAAAATCGGATGAGTTTCACTCTCTTGATTTTTAGAAAGAAAAATTATAATTCGTTGTGTTTTAAGAATCTTCGTTCCTCTCCTTTAAAGTTAAAACATGCGTGACCCTCACTTTCCTTGCAATAAGAGGTCAAGGTAAAAAATGACGTAGAATAGAATGACTACAAAACTATACATATAAACGGTTTAAGGAAAAAAAAAGGATCAAAATATCTTTTTCACGCTTGGCACATAGCTTCAGTGTTATCTTAACTGCTTAATAATTTAGAACAAGTGGATAATCTTTTGCCACATAAATAAAAATGAAAGCAAACGTTTAATCATAGTCATAATGATATCTTTCATTTAAAAATTAATATTATTAATATTCTCAAGCGTGTATTTTGGACCACATGTTTACTTCAGAAAGATTTGCGCATACTTTCGTAACAGAAGGGGATGCTGTACTGTAAGCAACTTCAAAAGATGTGGGTATTTTAACCTACAAAATATTTCATAATGAAAAAGACAGGAAAACACATACGCCTGAAGGAACAAGTAAGATCAAGATAACAATAAAAGAACAGACAAACAAACAAAGCAACCTCTTGATGATTTGCTTGTCTAATTAAATTATGATACATATCAACAATGATGAAATAAGATGTGAATGCATAGTGCCCAGCATGGCAGGTGAACAAGACCTATATAGAGGTAAGTAGCACTGTTCCATGCCCAAAGGGTTTCCAACCATTCCCAAAAGTCGCCAACATTAATACCACTATACCCTTCAAATACACCCTTCAATAAAAAGTAAGTGACAGGCGGAAACCCAATGAATCCTAAAACAAGGTTACAAGTGATCCTCGTAGAAGACATCAAGTTACTAGCTTTAATGTCAAGCTTCAAAGGTCGAGCCATCAGACAAATTGGGACGATAAGTAAAGCCCCAATTTCTGCAGTAGCAAAGTTAATGACTGACGTGAGAGACAAACCAATGAATGCCGCTGATATAGTTACCGACTTTAAGCAAGCCCATTCTTTTCTTTGAGATTGAGACGCAGCAGCTTCAGAAAATGAAGGACCCGAGGATATGTAAGAAACTAGGAGGCTCAAAACTGATAGCACAATCCATACTATGAAGCTGGTTTCGGTGGTTAAACTGGGCATTTGACTTATGAAATATGGGAGCACAGAGACAAAACCGCCCCATAAGTGGAAGGCAAAAACCTTTCTGGCTGACTTCAGCCACTTCCAAGAATTGGAATTGACTTTCATTTCGGATGCAGAAGAGGAAGCAGATTTCTCTTTCGGTTGGTGGAATCAAAATTACTAGCTTCAACGTGAAGAGAAGCCGCAACTATGGGAAGTGGAGCAACAAGTAAAGCAAAAGATATCATGTAAACTCCAACAGACACAAACTTACTGGGGGATGTCAAGAGGTACAAGAAAAACGACTGATGAAACTTCTCAAGAAGATTGTTTACTGAACGTACGACTCCTTCTATCAGCCTGCAGCAAGAAAAACTCTTGTTATGGTGACCAATTAAGGGCAGAGGAATATCAGATTAAATTTGAACATATATTCAGTAAATCAGCAGAAATGCCCCTTCCTTTACATCAACTGATGGCAGCCATAAAAAATGGGCGAGGAATACAATGCACACCTAAAGAAGGTGTATTCATACTGTTTAACAGTATAACAATATGATGGTTAATTCTTAAAAAACTAGATGCTAAAACATGAAGTATAGCTTTACTTGTTAATTACAAACAATTATTCCTAACAGAATTACTCCTCTGGTCCTGTTTAGAGCAAAGAGAGAAGGCATTTTGGTCTTTTTTATAGGATGCTAAGAGAAATTTCTATATTGATGTACAATTTTACCATTCATTTATTATTGTGTTGACTTTGTTTATATGAGATATAATGTACACTAAAAGAGGGA